CAACTGCCACAAATGCATTTTGTACCAGCCTCCAATTTGGCAGTCATAAAGCCAATCCCACCAAGATTTTTTTCTTTCTGACACTCCTGTACTGCTCTTTCTATCAAGGTGATTCCTCATTGTTGGACCTCAAACCCAGCGCTGATAGAAGTGCAACATTTCTGTCCTAGAATAGCCCAGGTTCCTCTTTGGCCAGCAGGCAGATAACACAAGGCCATGCGGTTCTGTGGAGCCTCATTCATGTTTGTTGAAGCTCATGGGATGGGCTATTCAATGTTTTAATAGTGTAATTCGCTACTTCGTCTAATATTTGATTTAGCTTATTAATGTAAACTCCATTGGATGAGGCAGTGCACATTGGGCACAGGGTGAACCAGAATCTTTTGCTTTCTGAAATCCAAGGGACTCTTTTGGGGGGAAGATGTTCTCTTGGCCCCAGCTCTTCCCTGTGGTTGTTGCCGAAGTACCCTAAAGAGAGGCACCAACATTGCCTGGAAACAGGAGCCAAACCATCCTTTAGGAAGCCATTTATGCACAGTCTCCAACACACCCAGCAGGTCCCATTCCCAGTACCAAAGGTCTGATTTCCTATTTCGCACTGTGGGCTGTTGATAGATCCAGGCTCTTTCCTGTGCTCCTATTGTGTCCCCTGTGCCTTTGGGCCAGAGGAGTTTTGCAGTGGCCCTGCAGCTGGGAGTGGTGTGACACTGACCCTGACCAGCTCCAGCACCCCGAGTTCTACTGACATTGGGAGTGATGGTAAAGCACAGAAATCCTCTCACACTGTGGCCTCAAACTGTAACAGGGTTTGGTTTCTCCTGAAGGAAATCCTGGTGAATCCTGTAAAACTGATAATTGTATTTTATGTTCCACAGCAGAGTTTTAACCATCCCTGTAGTGGCTCTGTTATGACTCAGAGCCCATTGACAGAGTTCTGGCAACCCCATAGGGTGGACCCTCCAAAGGAATCCCATTTCTCTCAATATTCATTGAGAACATTTCCAGCAATTAGTTACACTGAGTATTTTGGCTGCTTTGATCTTTAAATTTTCTAAGAATTTTATGACCAATCCCTTGGTGAAACTTAAGAGGCTTTTCTTGTCATCTTGGAGCCAATTACTGTCTTTCTTAAGTGTTTTAAGTATTTTTCTGCACTCCAATGTGTAGATTGGTGCTCTCTGTCTACTATTTCTCTCATCATTTTTTGGGAACTATTACTTGTCCAGAAGGGGTGACTGCCCATCCACTAGGGTGAAGTCTAGCTTATAATGCTTCACTTAACTGACAATCTTTTACACCATATTCTAGCTTAACATATGGCACACTGATATCTTGTTGTGGAACCAAAATGTGGATGCCTTTTTCTGCAGCCTCTTTATCCACCCTGTCAGCCTAGTCATTTCCCTGTTTTGTCCCTATTTTACTTGTCTGGTGTGTTCTACAGTGCAGAATTGCAACTTCAGCTGGTTTCTGTTCTGCTTCCAGCAAATGTAATATTTGTGTCCCATGTTTGATTGATGAACCTTGTGCTAATAACAAACCTCTCTCCAGATTGCCCCATGGGCAAGCACTAAACCAAAAGCATACTTAGAATCCATCCAGATGATCAGTTTCTTTCTTTCTTTCTCAGTTCCAATGCCCGGGCGAGAGAAACCAGTTTGGTCTTCTGTACTGAAACATCTGATGTTAGAGCCTTAGATTAACTCCTTTGTTCAGCTTAGTCACCACATACCCAGATGTGTTTCCCTTTTTAACAAAACCACTTCTGTCCATGTATAGCTCCCAGTCTGGGTTCTCTATCAGGCTGTCCTTCAAGTCCGGTTGGCTGGAATCAACTTCTTGTCCCAGAGCCAATTTAGGAGCTTCCTGAATTGACAGCACCGTAGCTGTGACTGCTCACAAACAGCTGAGCCATCCTTGGCATAAATGAATGGTAGTAGTTACATAACCTCTGAACAGAGAGAGACATGGTTCTCCCAGGAAAATCCTGGGAAGCTGTGTAGAAGCTGTGGGCAACTTAGAGGAAAGAATTCAAACAATTATTATCTCTCTTTCTGTAACCATTATTTATAGATATGATTCTCCAGAGTGTGCAATTCATAGTTCACCAATAGTGTGAGAGAAGATTCCTAAAGGCCCATCAGGTCTTAGGTCCACCATTGTTTCCCTAAGAACTGTAGATTTCTAATAATCAAGTGTCTTTTCCTGCCTTCTGATGATGGAGTCTCTGTATCACCTTTGGCTGTCCCCAATACCCCTTCGGTGATTCAAAAGATCTCGTGGGATCTGGCAAGCCTAAAGCTGGAGCCCTCATCAGTGCTTTCTTGTTTGAATGAAGCAACATTCCCAAAACTTGATCTCTGCATTCAATTTTTCCTAGTTTCCTACTAATAAAGGTTTCAGAGACTTAGGCAAGTACAAAAATTGATGAGTTATCCATAATTTTTCCAGTTTGAATTTAATTGTTAAACGAATGGGAATGTGTCTTTACAAACTGTGAGTCTGCCTGTAGATACAACCAGATACTGGCAGGTCAAAGAAGCAACAGGGGGAACCATACATTTCGGAGGAATGCTACTAATTGACACAGACCGTTGCTTATCCAAGGCCGTGTTAAATCCCTGGACTTAGAAAAGAAGAACAGAGGTACAAAGAAAAAGAGGGGTGCACAATATGAGGGGATATGTATTACGTGATTCAGGAAGTCTGTATCTCTCAAGTATCTCAGCCAATGGGGAAAGACAGAGGGTAATGTGGGATGGGAAAACAGCATTGAAAAGCAAGTTGTGTCCTCAAAAAAAAGGAGAGACCCCAGGGTAAATGTGCCGTGGCCTCTCCCTTTGTTCAAATAAAGTTACAGGACCCTTTTGTCTCCTTTTTGGACATAAACCTCTGGCATTGTGAAGTTTGCATTGCACAGCTGGCTTGAAAAAGGGGCATGTTTCACAAGTCTCTGTGGCACTGACAGTTGTGATGGAATCATCACTTAACTTTCCTTGCAGGGTATTTTATATAAAATAACCATCTCCTGTTACCAAAACGTCCCGTTTTTCCTTTCCCAGTGTAGCTGTTACCACAGGCTCTGCTGGGGATGAAACCTCTGGTCCCCTTCACAAAAACCCAGCTATTGCCATGAAGGAGTTTGGGGAAGTCCTGGGTTTTAGGGGAGGACATTTCTGCTTCCAATGTCCCTCCTTTTTACAATATGTGCATTAGTTTGTTCCCAATCTTTCTAATGAAGGTCGAGGAACTGAACTCCTTCCCCTGCCATGAGACCCCTTCCTCCCTGGGGGCAGCAGTCCTGTGCTGATTCCTGTTTCTTCTGCTGGTATTATTTTCTGTTTAGTCACTTCCAGCTGGTTTGCCTTTGATTTGTATGTACTGCCCACGCAATATGAAGTAGTTTATCAAAAAGTGTCTGTTTCATGGATTTCCTGTAGTTTTATTAAAATATTATCAAGGGCTATGCTATGCAAATAAGAGCCAGATGACTTTTACCTTCCTCATGAATTTTTTTTACCTTTATTGCTTTCTTATCTGTGCCTGCAACCAGCCTGAATTTCTTTTGCCTTTATTGCTTTCTTATCTGTGCCTGCAACCAGGCTTCTTAGTCCTCTATGCACTGGGCTTTGCAACTGCATTTAAACCTTCTTTCTCTTGATAATCTAAATGCTTAGAGCAGACGTGTCCCACACTACACATATAACAACAACATTTAATAATTTTATTTTCCTTCTCTAAAGCCTAAACAAAAGGATCCAAAGGTGCTGAATTAATTCCACAATCCTTTTGCTACTCAGGGTGATTTCTCAAAGTGAGAAACATTTCCGTATGCATCCCTTAATGTCATTTTGTTATTGATGCAAGAATAACATCAGTTGTAGCAAGATGTTATTGTCCCACCACCCATTGCTCACTGTCATCTTCACCAGCCCATCCCATCATTCCAGAGGCTGGTCCATCCCAGGGGATGTCATAAATCCACTCAGTGCCTGCTTCATGGCCAGGTGTCTGTAAGGTTGTTTTGGCAATGAGTAGCATTGTCTGATTAAATTCTTTCATGGGGCACTGTGTGCCCATAACACTCATTTTCCTAGCCCGGGACAGTGTCAGTCTGCAGGGATCAGGGTCACAGGGTCTGTCTGCAGTCATCCAGTGGTTGTTCTCACCACCACAGGCACACAGCCCTTGCCAGGGTGGGTTTGGGGTACAGTCAGTCTGCCAGGCCTCCCCATACTTGTATTCCAGCCCTTGTGAGCAAAACCCTCCCTAAATAGGTTTTTTATTTGGGAGGTCAAAAATTCTTTAATTTGATATTTCTGAGCTCAAATCCTCCCTAAATGAGTGTTTCTCAGCTCCCTAAATTGGTGTTTCAGATACCAAAATATCCTAAATTGGGTGTTTCTGAGCCCGAAATTTCTCTAAATTGCTTTTTCTGGGCTTAAAATATCTCTAAATTGCTTCCTTTGAGACTCAGAGCTCCCTATTTTTTTCCTCCCCAAGCCAAAAAACCTCCCAAAATCAGTGTTCTGGAGCCCCAAAGCCCCCAGATTTGCTCTTTTTCAGCTCCAAAGCTCCTGAAATCACTGTTCTGGCCCCAAAGCTGCTGAAATGGGGATCCTAAGCCATGAAGTTCCCAGAATCAGTGTTCCAGAGCTCTGGCACCCCTAACTCAAGCCCTGTGCCCTGTCTGCCATCAGCCCCAGGGGTTCACTCCCAGCGCTCCCGGTGCCCTCCCGGGGCATTCCCGGTGCCCGTGGAGGCTCCAGGAGCCGGGAGGGGCCGCTGGCTGGGCCCATTTCCCCCCATCCAGCCAAGGAGCCGCCCCCTGATCAGAGCATTTTCACTTTCACTTTCTGAAAACTGATTTACGAGAAATCAGTGTAAATTGAGAAAGGAGCCGCGGGGGGAGAGAGAGGAGCCCGTGGGGGTGGGAACGGGGATGGGAACGGGGGCGGGCCGGATGGGAACGGGGGCGGGCCGGGTGGGATATAACCGGGATGAGGAGCTGCCGGTGCTCACACCGCATCGCCGAGTTGCTTCTTCCCGGGCTTGTCCCAGGTAAGCGCCAGCCCCTTGCTCCTCTGTTTCCCCAGGGCTTGCTCCTTCTGCTTCTGAAATTGATGTTTCTCAGCCCAAAAGCTCCCGAAATTGCTGCTTTGGAGCTCCAAAGCTCCCTAAATGGGGACTAAACAAACAAACAAACAAAAAATGTTTTTTTGAAGCCCGAAAGCTCTAAATCATTCTTGCTTCTCTGAAAATACCCCCAGGTCACTCTCCCTGATTCTGAAAGCTCTCGATGTGATTTTTTCCTCAGCCTTGAACTCCCCAAATCAGGGTTTTGTAGGCCTGCAAGTCCCTAAATTGGTGTTTCTCAACCCCAATACTGCTTAAAATTTGGGCTTGTTCAGAGCCCAAAATCTCTCTAAATCAGGGTTTGGGACCCCAAAGCTCCCTTAATCACAGAGTCGAGTCCCAAGGCTCCCAAATGTGCGGTTTCTTAGCCCAAATGCTCCTGAATGGAAGTTTCTGAACCCCTGAGAACCCAAAATTGCTTATTTTGATCTCAGAAGCTGCCTACCTCTTTTTTGGGGGGGCCAGACCCATCCCTAGATGGTTTGGAAGGCTGTGCCTGAGTGCTGGTGGAATGCAGTGGAAGAGGAGAGGCTCTGCCAGAGGAGTGTCAGGGGGATGAGGATGGGAGGTGTGAAGAGCAGCTGGGATACCTGGAGATCCTGAACAGGATGGGCAAAGGTTGACTTGTGTGAGTGAGCAGTGGAGGGGTCAGAAAGGGGGGACACTGCCTAGGGCAGTTCAGAAACTCCCTGATCAGCAGGGAGAGTTGGCAGAAGAGCTCTGGGGGCAGCCTGGAGGGGTCTCCAGGCCAGTGAGCAGGTTCCCATGGGAATGGAACTGCCCTGGCATTCATGGCCAGGCAAAGCAAAGGGCTCCAGCAGCGTGGGGGATGTGGGAGCGATGGCTCAGCAGAGCTGCCTGGCGGGTGAAGAGGGGGTGCTCGCGGGGACCTGGTCCTGCCCCACAGGAAGGGCTGGTCAGGGATGTGCTCCTCAGTGCCAGCCTGGGCTGTCACAGCCAGGAAATAGTGGGGTCCAGGCACCGAGGGGCAGGGACTGAGGCCAGCAGCAGAGCACGGAGCTGGGGCTCCAGAGGAGAAGGCCTCGATGAGCTGAATGAACCAGGTGGTGGCAGCGGCAGCAGCTCCGGACGGTTCCCACCCCCACGGGCTCCTCCCTCCCCCCCAGCACCTCCTTTCTCGGTTTGACACCGATTTCCCGTAAATGCCTATCAGGAAATCTGAGAGCGGGCAGGAATGGTCTCTCCAAGAGCCAGGAGTAAAGCACTCATCTCCTGGGGCTCTCGGCTGAACTGACCGAGCTCCAGGGTGAAAAGGCAGCACTTGGGAGGGGGAGCACACGAGCCAGCAGCAAAGCAAGGCAGCAGCACCCGGGGCTGTGTGAGCAGGAGCCCAGCCAGGGGAAGGGCTGACCCCCCTGCCCAGCACATTCACACCACACCTGCCCAGCCACAGGGGGCTGTGGCACTCGGGAACCACTGCCCTGGTGGTCACTGGGGTGGCAATCCTCCTCCAGCTGTCCTTCAATCCTGGTGGGATTTCCTTAAGAATATCAGTGTCTGCAGCAGCAAAACCAACAACAAAAGCGTGACCGTGCCCAAACAGAACTGTCTGCAGCAGAGCAATCTGCACAGTCTGCAGGCGCCCCTCTGGGCAAGGCCAGTGGAATCACTGTTGGCAATGCACAGCAGTGACACCCCCTCCTCACAAGGCTTCCCAGGCAGTGACTGTCCCTGGGCTGGGCACTGCTGAGGGCCCTCAAGTGCTGTGTCAAGGTCTGCCAGAGGGGATTGAGTGGGAAAAGCTCCCTGGGCCATCCTGGGGCCTTCACTGGGCGTTGCTGAGGTTTGAAAGAGCCCTGCTGCCCTCCAGAGCCCCAAGGGCTTTCAGTGTCTTTGCCTCATCAAGGCCCAGCTGTGCTGCAGAGGGTGGGAGAACAGTCAAGAAGGGTTGGAGGGAGACCACAAAGTTAATATTTCATGGAATTCCCATTCAAAGTCCATTGTCCCTTCCCACCCACTGTCTACAGTCACTAATCCAGCTCCTAATGCATTCCTACAAACAGAAAAAATTATCAATTCAGGCCTTATTTTTTTAATAGGCTTTTTGTCTGATAGCAAAAATTGTTGCCATGGCTTTTGCTATACATTAAATTGGAGAAAAATTAAAAAGTAAGTAGCATATTGATTAGACACAGCCTGGATGCCATGAATATATTCTGGAAGATTGTTTGTTTCTTTGATCTTGGCTGGTCAGAAAATTGTTTAGTCTGAATATATAATGAATAATTATTTTTTCATGGAGTGAGTAGAACTTCATACTATAAAATATAAAAATGAAAACAATAGTTCACCTTAGCACCCCAGACAAAGCATAATGAGATTTCACCATCACTCATAAAGTCCTCCTGGATTTAGCTCAAATACTGGTACTAATGTTGTATCAGATTCAATGCATAATTCAAAAAGTCTAATTTATTGAGCCTCTGTTGGCACACCAGACTCTGTTGGGCTCTGGGCGACAGAGCCATCGCTGGCAATGCAGAAGAGAGAGTTCCTTCCTTTTTTTTTTTTTTTTTTTTCTTTTTTCTGGCCATACTTTTTCTTCCTCCTCTCTCCCCCTGACCTTCATTTTCTTTTTCCTTCTCCTCCCCTCTCCTGTCTTTCCCCCTTCATTTTTCCCCCTCCAAGCTTCAACTTTGGCTCAAGATTGCAGATCTGGCCCTGCATAAAATAATTTTCCTGTCTAAAGCAGTTGTCAGGGCTCCTTCTAAATATGAGAGAGAGACAGAGAGAACAAATTTTCTCTGACTGTGGGAAGTGGGGTGACCCATCCCTGGAAGCACAACCATCTTTCCATGAGAGGTGATCTGAGCTAATGTCTGTGTTCATCAGTTATCAATGGCAGAGGCACATCCAGGATAGCTCCACGTGCACATCATCTATTCAGTGTTACTGTTTGAGAAGCCATCTCGCTATTGCTCTGCTTTCAGGAGAAAACCCCTCAAACTCTGAGCGTTTTAAGCCATTTATGTGCTTTCCCTCCTTTCAGACCAGAACAAAAGAGCAAAAGGTAGTGGGAGGAGATGCAGCAGGGTTCAATCCTGGGAAAGCACCTCTGGCATTTCCTGTCTGATGCCTTCAGTGAGACCCCTGGGACAGCCATGGGCCCTGGGGCTGTGACTTCTCTTGGGTCCCTGCTGGCACTTCTCTATTTCTAATCCTCAGTGGAGCTCTTTTCCTCCCCTTGAACACCAGGAAAGCTTTCTTGACATGCAGCAGCTTTGGCAGGGGGCTCCTTAATTCAGTCCAGGTCCTCTTCCTTCTCTGGCCAGAGAAAACAAAGTCACAAGGAGCAGACAGCCCAGGGAAATGGAGTGCAAGAAAGAGGGAGAGCAGAGCATGGCAGCGAGCTGTGCCCTGAGCAGACCTTTCCTCACTCCTGAGCAGTCCCTGTTTCTGCCTTCACCTCGTCCCTGCTGCTCTGATGGATGTGCCCAGAAGGGACAGGTGGCTTTGTTGGAAGGGTCAGCAGGGCCCTGCTTTCTGCAGCTAGCTTGCAGAAGAGGATATTGAGGAAACTTCCCAGTCTGACCCTTCCCAAGGCTCTCTGGCCATCCCACTCCAGCCACCAGAGGTGTTCAGTGCTGGGACTGGAGCCCCTCCACAGCAGTGCCCCAATGGGCCCTGCTGGACTCCCCACACTCCCCCTCCCACACCCAGCCCCTGTGTCCTCCCTGGTTCCAGCCCAGGTTTCCCAGAGCAGTCTCAGCTGTCTGATTCCATAAAGCTATTTATTCCCAGTGCAGTAACACAGGAACAGCCTGAGCTGTTCCCCCAACAAGGGAGCCCCTCAGTTTTATCCCTTCACACTCTGCATGCCCAAGGCTCAAGTCTGGCTCTTCCTCCCAGCCCTCAGTTCCTGCTGGGTCTCTCAGTGTCTCTTCCCCAGCTGTGCCACCACTCTTGGTGCCCTTTGTTGGGCTCTGTTGGCAGTTCACCAGCTCTTGTCTCGGGCTCCCACCTGGAGCTCAGCTTGTATCAGGCACTGCAGCTGCCCCAGCCACCTGCACCCGGTGTGTTCACAGCCAGGGGAGGGGAGAGTGGGAGTGAGGTGGTTTCAGTTTTGTCTTTGTTACCTGGCTTGCTGCTCTATTGGGAATTGCTGAGAAAGCAAAGCAATCGTCCCCAAGTCGAGTCTGGTTTGCCCATGGTGGCAGCTGGAGAGGGATGTCCCAGGCTTTATGTGAGCTCTTCTGTTGTATTTTTTCCTCCCGTCCAGTTGAGGAGGGGGAGTGAGAGAAGTTTGGTGGGCCTCTGGCAGCCAGCCAAGGTCACTTTGTCCTTTCTCCATAGATTTCTTCATAGCTGGTCAGGATAACCTCCAAGATTTGAGTCTGAAGGAATGGAAAGTGGTCCCTTTCCTTTATGGAAAATTGTGGCTGGGGCTGAACACCAGGTTCAGCACTCTGCAAAAACAGAAGGTCTTAATTTTGACTGAGGAAGGTGATGTGTGTGTCTGTGAGAATTCTCAGAGCTCCAGGACAGACAAGATGTGTTAGGGACCAGCTGGGAGTACAACAGAACATCTTAGCAACTGCATTATCTTCTCCAGTGCTGTGCCCACCACAGAGATTTTGACCCTTTTCCCCTGCTTTGCAGAGTTGTAGTGGTTTTGGTTTGCCAATTTAAGATTTCCCTAAGTTTGAGATTTTCCTGGCCAATACACAAAAGAATGTGGCAGGTTTGGTGCTGGCCAATCACCAATACACTCACTTCCTGCTGTGAGATAGGATTAGGAGAAAGGCAAAGCAGGCTCAAAACTTTAAAGGGGTATAAAGAAAATTTTATTTAAAGTAACTAAAAGAAAAGTAATAAGAATCAAAACAAACCCCTCAGAACACTTCTCTTCCCCCCACAATCTTTTCTTTCCCACTGACAATGTAAAGAAACCAACCCTAAAACTTCCAGTCAGTTTACCCCCTGTTCAATTCAGTGAGGGAGAGAAGTCCCTCTTGTTAAGGTTATGGAGACTTCTCCACAAGAGGAAAGGAAACAGTTCTCTCGTGGCTCTCAATTTCATCACGAGTAGCAGCCACCCGGGGAACCGTGTCTTGGTGAAGTCCTTCCCATTGCCACAAGCCTTCCCACAGCTTGTCAGTGGCCATGTCGACTTATGGGATATTGTTTTAAAGATGAACTGTTCAAAGGCAAAAGTTCTTGTTATCTATTTCTAAAATCATCTTCATCCCTGGGAGCAGAAATCTCCTGGAAGCACAGGACCACTCTTTTCCTCTGTTCAAACTTCTCATGGGATCACAGCTATTTCAAGACCTGCTTATATTAGCATGGAGGCCTTTGCTTGATATCAGTTTGAAGGCTTTCATCTCCCCATAGTTTCATGTGTTATAGGAGAAAGAGTATTTTCTCCATAGCTTACAAGAGGATTTCATCTCCAAAGACCTCCCATCTGGGACTTAACTCCTTCCTCACTGACCTCGATGTCTTCATGGTGTTCCTTTCCATGCTTGCATCTTGTTCCTTTCTCTCACTCGAGGGAGGATTGAAGCGCTGAAAGGGTTAACATCACACCTGAGGCCTACCTGCCCTGCCGGTAACTCCTGGCTATGCCAGGATCGGCCTCGTGGTTGGTCTTTGGTTTTCTCTGTGTTCAGCTCCAGCCGCAGGGCCACTCTGCAGGGGCTGCAGGGCTCTCTGGCCTCAGCCGTGCTGGGGAAGGGGATTTGATGATAACATCACAGCCAGGGCCAGCCCTGCTCCGGCCCGGGCTCCGCAGCCTCCCCCCATTCCTGCCCGGCAGCTGCTGGGGCCCGGCCCGGCCAGAAGCGGCGGGCGGCCCGGGGAGGGGGAAAAGGGCCCGGCCCGCGGCAGGACCGCCCGGCCCGGCCTGGCCGAGACCGGGGAGCGGGGCCGGGCCCGCCACCTCCTCAGCCCGCCACCCTCTCACTCACTGGAAAGGAAAGAGAGAGTTCCCGGGCCTTTAACATGTGTTCCCGTCTTTAACATGTGTGTTTTTCAGAGGGGTGTTCAGCTTATCAGTGGTTCCACAGACTGTCAGTTACACAGAAAGCTTTGCATCACTTCCCCAGATTTTCTTCCCATTCCAAACCACGACAAGAGTGAATATTGAAAAAAAAGACACAGGTAACAAGAAATGAGAACATGGCTAATTTTTTGCTAAGAGTTGTATTACTTGTTTAGACAGTGATGAAAGGGAAAATCAGTAAATTAAAAAACCCAGAGTAGATCAGAGGTTTGAGTAGTATAAAGGACTTATGTGTCCCCAAAAGGCTCTTAAATGCGCTTTTTAAATCCTTAGGGAAATATTGTAGTGAAGCTTCCTTTTTTTCATTTTTCGTTTTTCTTTTCAGGTGAAGCAGTGGCTAGAAGAAATGAGCTGGTGGAGGAAACCTGGAGGCTTTAGGGTGTCCCTATGTAAGAGAGGACTCATGGGTCCCATTGCTCTTGTCTGTGGCCATCCTTGGGATGGGATGTGTTGGGATGTGTTGGGATGTGTTATCCCTGAGAGAAGTGAGGCCAGTGGAGGTCTCTCCCCTGAGCACGTTGCCTGCAGAACCCCTTCCAGAGCCCAGCAGAAGGCCTGGCCTTTGGGCTGGGGTCAGTTTGGTCAGAGGGGTGACTTTCTTTGACCAGAGACACATCCAGACACATCCTACTCTAGCAGGCAGCGTTGCTGAGCAGGGCTCTGAGGGTCAGGCTGAAATGAATGTGTGAAGGGACACTGGGAGGTTCCTCTCCACTCCTGGTGTGAGGCAGAAGAGTCTCACCCTCTCGTGGGTGGCTGTGCTCTGGTGGGACTGGGGCACCTGTGTGGTGCCTGAGTGCTGTGGCAGCTGAGGCAGCTCCCTGGCCCAGGAGAGCCTCAGTGGGCCCGAGGGTCAGGAACCCCCCAGCACTGCTGAGGGGCTGCTGGGCCAGCTGTGGGATGTGTTCTGCCCCAGAACCTGCTCAGTGCAGTCCTGGAGTTCCTAGGGGAAAGGTCCTTGTTAAAAGTCCTGATTTTCTTTTTGATTTTATTTTCATATATGCCTGATGTCCAGTATCTGGGGCTGTTGTCCTCCTCGCTCAGAAAGGTGTAGAAGCGGCAACCGACGCAATCAGTAAGTGTGCTGGGTCCCATTCCTCTTGTCTGTGGCCATCCTTGGGAACCCTTGGGATGGGATGGGATGGGATGGGATGGGATGTGTTATCCTGGAGAGAAGTGAGGCCAGTGGAGGTCTCTCCCCTGAGCACGTTGCCTGCAGAACCCCTTCCAGAGCCCAGCAGAAGGCCTGGCCTTTGGGGTGGGATCAGTTTGGTCAGAGGGGTGACTTTCTTTGACCAGGGACACATCCTACTCTAGCAGGGGTGTTCCTCACAATTGGTAATGATTTCAAAGACACAGCACATCCCTTCTGGGGTTTCCTTTCTTTGAGCACTAAAGGAGGAATCTCACCCTGGGTTTAGCTACAGGGACAAAAGGCAGAAGCCTTTCTGTGCAGGTGAGTGCCAGTCCTTGCCCACACTACCTGGAAACTGAACCCTGCCAAGCAGGAAGGAGATCCAGAGGTGATGGCCCAGTGCAGTCAGATCGAGCAATCCCACCTGTCCATAAATTCCCATTTCCAAAGGCCTCCAGCCAGTCCTTTGTTACGTTGCCCATCCCCATGCAGCTGCCCAGGACCCCAGGGTGCAGAGATGTTGCTGCAGTGGGCTTTTCCCAGCACAGACCAGCACAGCCTGGCCTCTGCTGGATCCCACCCGCTGGTTTCCAAGGTCAGCTGTTCTCCTGCCCCTGCTCTTTCCAGCTGGGATGCTGGCAGGGGAATGTCATTCCCTCAAGGGACACTTGGAATTAAGCATGGCCTGGGCTGTCGCCCATGTCCAGGCCTTTGGGCAGTGAGGAGGCCATGGGGTTCCTCCCAGTATTCCTCACTAGCTGCACAGGAGCTCCAAACCCATGTTTAGAAGGGCTCTCAGTGGTGCCAATAATCCTTTCAACAGGCAAAAGCTGTTAGAGAAAAAGTCTCCATGTCAGGAAGAAAACTGGGGCTACAGTAGGGAGGCCAAGGTTTCTTCCTAGAGCAAACTCCTGTTGGAATAGGATTTGAAAGCCAGGATAGTAGTATGTGGTGCCTACAGGTGCATCAGCCCATGAATTCCACATCTCTTGTTTTTCAGGGATGAGTGAATTCATTTCCAAGGCTGCTGAATTAGAAAGGATGATCTAAGAAAAAGAGGTCTGGAGAAAACAGATTGATAAACAGGGAGGACATGAGGGAACTAAGTCTGAGCTTTTTGTTAGTCCTCTGAATAAAGAAATAAAGCAAAAAAAGAATCTATTTCTGGATTGCACCTTGAGCACAGTGCTTAATTCCTCTGAAGTGATTATTTCTCTAGACAGTGGAAGAAAAAAGCAACCTGCTGCAAGATCTAAGAAGAGACCCTCAAGAAGAGACTTTAGAAAAGAAAATACGAGCATCCTCAGAGAGAAGGGGTGGTCTCCCACTCAAGGCAGAAATGTCAGTTTCCCACTAACACCAGTCGTTTCCTACAGGAAGGTGGAACAGGGAGGAGACCAACAAGGCCCTGGAAGCCAAAATAGACAAGGCCTCCCAGGACCTCGACAATAAAATGAAAGCTCTGCATGAAGATTTCAAAAAATTACAGGAGATCAGAGCAGAGCTGGAGAAGATCCCAGGTGAGCAGAGCCATTGCCAACCAGACTTTCATGCAGCTGAAGGCAAAAGCTGCTCTACAGGCCATTCACCCTGTGAGCTCCTCCTGCTCAGCTCCTCAGAGGGGACAGGGAGGGACAGTCCTTCCATGGGGAACAGCTCCTGCCATCCATGGCACTGAAACACCTCCATGCTGAAATGTTCTCTGCAGGTGCAGGTGGTCAGAGTCCCTCTTCTGTCCCTCACCTTTGCATGAGGTGTGTGCTGGGAGTTCTCTCACTGCCTGATACTTGCTAAGGGTCCCCCCTTGGAGTCCTGTCCCTCTCTCTCCCTTTCCCCCTGCCCTTCTCCTGCTGCCCCACTCCTGGTGCCACGCTGGGGCACACGTGAGCTCAGCCTTGTTTCCCTGTGGATGATCAGCAGGGAGAGGAGCTGCCCTGAGCAGAGCCTGGACGTGTCTGTGAGCGCAGGGCCTGTGGAGAGCAGCTCTGCCTGCAGGAGCTGGTGCTGGCAAGGGGAAGGCTCAGCTGGGGCACAGCCTCCAGTGTGGCCTGGCTGGCCCCAGACTGTGCCCCTGGGCCTGGCTCAGGCAGGACACAGAGTGTGTTGGGAACAGCCTCTGGCCCCAGGGCAGGGACAGCTGAGGGAGGATCGGCCTTCCCTGACCGGGGGTCCTGTTTGTGCTCCAGCAGAGCCAGGGCAAGGAGCAGCCCAGGAGAGTCCAGGGAAACCCCTGCAATTCCTGCTGGCTCAAGCCATTGTGGGCTTGGAATTGTGTGGCCCACTTCAAAGCTGGACCTCTATTTTTTTGGCTACATAAAAAACAGACAAGACATTGAAAAGGGATGAAAACTTGTTCTGGCTTTCTTGTCCCCTCCCTGCTAAAAATGTGAACGTAAAGGGAAAAGCATTTCCAGATTGTGCCTTCATGGCCAACTGGAATTCCTATGAGGGGAGGGTTTCTAAGGGGGAATGAGGGAGGAAAAAGCCACCCACAGGAGAGCCCTGAGGTGAGGCCTTCTGTCAGGGAGGTGAAATCAGAGCCTTTGGGCCTGCTTGTGTCAGATACTGGCCTGCTGCTCAAGGAGGAAACATCAGTGACCCTGTGACCTTGTTCTTTCATCACACAAAACAAAGATGAGGAAATTGCAATGGAACTGAAATTCAAGTTAAAGAAGACTGCCCGGGAGCTCTCCCGAAGAATTAAAACTCTGCAAGAAGATGTAAAGAAATGGCACGAGACCATAAAGGATGAGCTTCGTGTTTGCAGACCAGAGCTGGAGAAGATCCCAGGTGAGCAGAGCCATTGCCAACCAGACTTTCATGCAGCTGAAGGCAAAAGCTGCTCTACAGGCCATTCACCCTGTGAGCTCCTCCTGCTCAGCTCCTCAGAGGGGACAGGGAGGGACAGTCCTTCCATGGGGAACAGCTTCTGCCATCCATGGCACTGAAACACCTCCATGCTGAAATGTTCTCTGCAGGTGCAGGTGGTCAGAGTCCCTCTTCTGTCCCTCACCTTTGCATGGGGTGTGTGCTGGGAGTTCTCTCACTGCCTGATACTTGCTAAGGGTCCCCCCTTGGAGTCCTGTCCCTCTCTCTCCCTTTCCCTCTGCCCTTCTCCTGCTGCCCCACTCCTGGTGCCACGCTGGGGCACACGTGAGCTCAGCCTTTTGTCCCTGTGGATGATCAGCAGGGAGAGGAGCTGCCCTGAGCAGAGCCTGGACGTGTCTGTGAGCGCAGGGCCTGTGGAGAGCAGCTCTGCCTGCAGGAGCTGGTGCTGGCAAGGGGAAGGCTCAGCTGGGGCACAGCCTCCAGTGTGGCCTGGCTGGCCCCAGACTGTGCCCCTGGGCCTGGCTCAGGCAGGACACAGAGTGTGTTTGGAACAGCCTCTGGTCCCAGGGCAGGGACAGCTGAGGGAGGATCGGCCTTCCCTGACCGGGGGTCCTGTTTGTGCTCCAGCAGAGCCAGGGCAAGGAGCAGCCCAGGAGAGTCCAGGGAAACCCCTGCAATTCCTGCTGGCTCAAGCCATTGTGGGCTTGGAATTGTGTGGCCCACTTCAAAGCTGGACCTCTATTTTTTTGGCTACATAAAGAACAGACAAGACATTGAAAAGGGATGAAAACTTGTTCTGGCTTTCTTGTCCCCTCCCTGCTAAAAATGTGAACGTAAAGGGAAAAGCATTTCCAGATTGTGCCTTCATGGATGGCCAACTGGAATTCCTGTGAGGGGAGTGTTTCTAAGGGAGAATGAGGAAGGAAAAGCCCACCCACAGGAGAGCCTTGAGGTGAGGCCTTCTGTCAGGGAGGTGAAATCAGAGCCTTTGGGCCTGCTTGTGTCAGATAGCTGGTCTGCTGCTCAAGGAGGAAACATCAGTGACCCTGTGACCTTGTTCTTTCTTCACAGGATACAAAGAGGAAGATATTGCAGGGATCCTGGAATCGATGTTGAATAAGAACCACAGGCAGCTCTCCGAAAGAATTCAAACTCTGGAAGGAGATGTAGAGGAATGGTCAGAGGGAACATGGGATGAGCTTCAGCTTCGCAGACCAGAGCTGGAGAAGATCCCAGGTGAGCAGGGCCATTGCCAACCAGACTTTCATGCAGCTGAAGGCAAAAGCTGCTCTACAGGCCATTCACCCTGTGAACTCCTCCTGCTCAGCTCCTCAGAGGGGACAGGGAGGGACAGTCCTTCCATGGGGAACAGCTTCTGCCATCCATGGCACTGAAACACCTCCATGCTGAAATGTTCTCTGCAGGTGCAGGTGGTCAGAGTCCCTCTTCTGTCCCTCACCTTTGCATGGGGTGTGTGCTGGGAGTTCTCTCCCTGCCTGATACTTGCTAAGGGTCCCCCCTTGGAGTCCTGTCCCTCTCTCCCTACCCCCTGCCCTTCTCCTGCTGCCCCACTCCTGGTGCCACGCTGGGGCACACGTGAGCTCAGCCTTTTGTCCCTGTGGATGATCAGCAGGGAGAGGAGCTGCCCTGAGCAGAGCCTGGACGTGTCTGTGAGCGCAGGGCCTGTGGAGAGCAGCTCTGCCTGCAGGAGCTGGTGCTGGCAAGGGGAAGGCTCAGCTGGGGCACAGCCTCCAGTGTGGCCTGGCTGGCCCCAGACTGTGCCCCTGGGCCTGGCTCAGGCAGGACACAGAGTGTGTTGGGAACAGCCTCTGGCCCCAGGGCAGGGACAGCTGAGGGAGGATCGGCCTTCCCTGACCGGGGGTCCTGTTTGTGCTCCAGCTGCAGCCAGCAGAGCCAGGGCAAGGAGCAGCCCAGGAGAGTCCAGGGAAACCCCTGCAATTCCTGCTGGCTCAAGCCATTGTGGGCTTGGAATTGTGTGACCCACTTCAAAGCTGGAGCTCTTCATTTATTGGGCTACGGAAAGCACAAATGGGACATTGAAAAGGGATGAAAACTTGTTCTGGCTTTCTTGTCCCCTCCCTGCTAAAAGTGTGAGGGTAAAGGGAAAACCATTTCCAGATTGTGCCTTCATGGCCAACTGGAATTCCTGTGAGGGGAGGGTTTCTAAGAGGGAATGATGAAGGAAAACGCCTCCCACAGGAGAGCCCTGAGGCGAGACCTTCTGTCAGGGAGGTGAAATCAGAGCCTTTGGGCCTGCTTGTGTCAGATAGCTGGCCTGCTGCTCAAGGAGGAAACATCAGTGACCCTGTGACCTTGTTCTTTCATTGTTCTTTCAGGAAACAAAATGGAGCAAATTGCACAGGCCCTCAAATCTATGTTGAAGAACTGCCACAGGCTGATCTCCCAAAGAACTCATACTCTGGAAGAAGATGTACAGGAATGTCTGGAGGCCACTATGGATGAGCTTCGGCTTCACAGAGCATAGCTGGAGAAGATCCCAGGTGGGCAGGGCTATTGCCAACCAGACTTTAATCCGTCTGAAGGCAGAAGCTGCTCTACAGGCCATCCACACTGTGAACTCCTCCTGCTCAGCTCCTCAGGGGGATGGGGAGGGACAGTCCTTCCATGGGGAACATGGAAGTAATCCATGGCACATTCTGTGATCCATGGCACTGAAAGAGCTTGTCTTGGTTTACAAGACAGGTGTCTGCTTGGGAAGGCAGAAGGCACATCCCTTGGAATAGAGATAGTAAAACCCCCGTCCCCCTTCGAATTATTATAATTTTGAAATTAAGGGGCTCTCAGCAAAGCTATGGGAATAGCAATAACAGTTCTTTACCCATATGTATAACAAGGCGCACAGAACACCAGCCCCTGCAGCATCACCGATCACAGAGCAGGAGCCCAGTCCCACAGTTCTTTCCTAGTGTGTATAATGAGGCACACAGAACACCAGCCCCTGCAGCATCACCGATCACAGAGCAGGAGCCCAGTCCCACAGTTCTTTCCTAGTGTGTATAATGAGGCACACAGAACACCAGCCCCTGCAGCATCACCGATCACAGAGCAGGAGCCCAGTCCCACAGTTCTTTCCTAGTGTGTATAATGAGGCACACAGAACACCAGCCCCTGCAGCATCACCGATCACAGACCAGGAGCCCAGTCCCACAGTTCTTTCCTAGTGTGTATAATGAGGCACACAGAACACCAGCCCCTGCAGCATCACCGATCACAGACCAGGAGCCCAGTCCCCGCCTTGGGGCTGCGGCGCTTTCCCCTCTGGTGCAGTTCCGGGCACGGCCAGCAGGGGCGCTGGTGGCTCCCGGCGGGCGGGGCAGTGCAGTGATCCCCGCGGGGCTGCAGGGGGCGCTGTGGGGCGGCGCGGGGAGCACGCGGCAATGGCGGCTGGGCCCAGGCGGGGAGGGATGGAGGAGAGGCTTTGCTCCACAAACCCCGGGGCAGCCGATCCCCTGCCCCAACAGGACTCTCGGAACCAGATGGCTGGAACAGCAGGGATGAGCAGAAAATCCCGGGGCAGTGAAAGAGAATGTCCCAAAACTCCAGGGCAAATAGCTGCAACCTGCGGGATGTCCTGGGAGGGCAGGGGTATCCGAGCCCCAGCAGCAGAAGAAAGGTTCCTTGCTGGGTCACGATGGTGGTAGGAGAAGGCAGCAGGGACAGGGTCTCACAGTGGTGGTGAATTCCCTCCCTAGCCTGTGTCCCCTCCAGTGCCAAGGGAGCAAGAGTGCACTAGGAACTGCCCCCAGCCCAAATCTCCCAGTATCTCTGCCCCCCTCCCCCCCACCCAGCCACCACAGAAACTCCCAAAAAAACCAAGAGTCCCCCCTCGCTGCCTGGCTCAAGCCATCAATTCCCATTAGCAACTCAATGGGAAGAAAGTCTACAGGTGATAAGGAGAGAACAGGAAAGAAGAAAACCAACCAAAACCCAGCCCCCAATATTATCCACCCCAAATTTTTTCCCATACCAACAGGTTACATCAAATTTAAACTTTTTAAAATTATAAACCTATATACATGCGGCTACAGATACAAGCAAAGAGTCATGGGGTAGTTCACCCTAAAACAAGGTCCCCTTGAGGTATACATTGGATTTCTCCATCCTTTTGCACCACCCACCTTCTCAACCTGGTCCCTGGGTGAAGACAACCCCACAGATGGGATTGTCTTTGCTGGAGGCAGAGTTTACCCAAACAGTATTTCCCAGCATAGCCCTCATATGTACCCCTGGAACCTTATCTCAGTCTGTTGTTTGCAAGGGCTCAGATTGGGCAGGGCCTGCTCGGTTAGTGGAACCTCGGGTGTTCACTAACCATGTGGCCTTTGCTAAATCAATCTCCCAGTTCTTGAAAGTACCCCCACCCAATGCCTTCAAGGTGGTTTTAAGCAGGCCATTCCACCGTTCAGCTTTCCCAGCTGCTGGTGCATGGTAGGGGATATGGTACAGCCACTCAATGCCATGTTCCCTAGCCCAGATGTTGATAAGGCCATTCTTGAAATGAGTCCTGTTGTCCAATTAGATTCTCTCAGGGGTGCCATGTCCCCACAGGATTTGCTTTTCCACGCCCAGGATGGTGTTCCAGGAAGTAGCGTGAGGCACAGGGTACCTCCCCAGCCATCCCGTGGTGGCTTCCACCATGGTCAGCACGTAGCGCTTGCCCTGGCGTGTCTGGGGCAGTGGGATGGAGTCAATCTGCCAGGCCTCCCCATACTTGTACTTGGACCACTGCCCACCGTACCACAGGGGCTTCACCTGCTGGGCCTGCTTGATGGCAGCACACGTCTCACAGTCATGGATAACCTGAGAAATACTGTCCATGGTTAGATCCACCCCTCGGTCTCGTGCCCACTTACAGGTGGCATCTCTGCCCTGATGACCTGAGGCATCATGGGCCCATTGAGCTGGGAACAACTCCCCCGTATGTTGCCAATCTAAGTCTATCTTTGGCACCTCTATCTTTGCAGCCTGACCTACCTGCTCATTGTTTTGGTGTTCCTCACTAGCCCGACTCCTGGGGACATGGGCATCTACGTGGCAGACTTTCACAGGTAGCTTCTCCAACCAAGGAGCAATGTCTTTCCATTCATCAGCAGCCCAGATTGATTTTCCTCTACGTTGCCAGTTGGCCTTTTTCCACCTTTCCTGCCAACCCCACAGATCATTGGCTACCATCCACTAATGGGTGTAAAGGTATATTTTTGGTCACACCTCTCTTTCAGCAATGTCCAGGGCCAGCTGAATGGCCTTGAGTTCAGCAAGGACTTGATCCACCTTCTCCTTTGGTAGCCTGTGCATCCTATCCTGTGGGGCTCCACATTGCTGCTTTTCACTTCCTGTTCATCCCTATGATACAACAGGAACCATCAGTGAAAAGAGCATGGTGTGCTTCCTCTGCTGGTAGTTGGTTGCACGGTGGAGCTTCCTCAGCCCGTGTCACTTGTACCTGCTCCTCTTTGTCAGTGAGACCAAAGTTTTCACCTTCCACCCAGTTTGTATTTATCTCCAAAATCCCAAGGCGATTCAGGTTTCCAATACAGGCACGCTGTGTGATCAGAGCAATCCATTTGCCCCATGTGGTGTCAGTGGTGTGGTGGGTACAGAGAACCTTTCTTTTAAACATCCACCCCAGCACCGGTAGTCGGGGTGCCAGGAGGAGTTGTGCTTCTGTGCCAATCATCTCCGAGGTCCCTTGAACTCCTCCATAGGCAGCCAAGATTTCCTTCTCAGTGGGAGTGTAGTTGGCTTTGGATCCTCTGTAACTTGGGCTCCAGAATCCCAGTGATGGGCCTTGAGTCTCCCCAGGCACCTTCTGCCAAAGGCTCCAGGACAAGCCATGGTTCCTGGCTGCAGAGTAGAGCACGTTCTTCACCTCTGCTCCTGTCCTGACTGAGCCAAGGGCTACTGCATGAGCGATCTCCTGCTTGATCTGAGCAAAGGCTGGTTGCTGTTCAGGGCCCCAGTGGAACTCGTTCTTCTTGCAGGTGACCAGGTAGAGAGGGCTCACAATCTGGCTGTACTCAGGAATGTGCATTCTCCAAAAACCTATGGCTAAGAAAGCTTGTGTTTCCTTCTTGCTGGTCGGTGGAGACATTGTTGCGATCTTACTGATGACCTCAGTGGGAATCTGACGCCATCCATCTTGCCACTTCACTCCCAGAAGCTGGATTTCTCGGGCGGGTCCTTTGACTTTGCTCTTCTTGATGGTGAAGCCAGCTTCCAGCAGAATCTGGATGATCCTCTCTCCTTTCTCAAACACTTCCATTGCCGTGTTCCCCCACACAATGATGTCCTCGATGTACTGCAGGTGTTCTGGAGCCTCACCCTTTTCCAGCTCAGCCTGGATCAGTCCATGGCAGATGGTGGGGTTGTGCTTCCACCCCTGGGGCAGTCGGTTCCAGGTGTACTGCACGCCCCTCCAGGTGAAAGCAAACTGAGGCCTGCATTCTGCTGCCAGAGGAATGGAGAAAAACACGTTAGCAATGTCTATAGTGGCAAAGCACTTTGCTGCCTTGGACTCCAGCTCGTACTGGAGTTCCAGCATGTCCGGCACAGCAGCGCTCAGCGGTGGAGTCACTTCATTCAAGCCACAATAGTCCACAGTCAATCTCCATTCTCTGTCAGATTGTGCACAGGCCAGATGGGGCTGTTGAAGGGTGAGTGGGATTTGCTGAGCACCCCTTGGCTCTCCAGCTCACGGATCATTCTGTGGATGGGGATCACGGCATCTCAATTCGTTGCTATTTCACCGTGACTTGGCATTTTCCTATCTTTAAGCCTCTTCCCTCCACAGAGCCCTAGCAGGCTCGGAGCCTGCTACAGATCACGGCATCTCAATTTGTTCAACACTGCCAGTGGTGCACCGTCGAGGTGACAATTGGTACTCGTTGCTCTTCCACCCTCAGGAGTCCTACTGCAGATGAGTTTTCTGATAGTCCAGGCAAGGTGTTCAACTGCTTAATGTTCTCTGCCTCTACCGCAGCTATTCCAAAAGCCCACCTGAGTCCCTTGGGGTGTTTGTGAAGCCATTCTGGAAGAAGGCCCCCAGAATACACGGGGCCTCTGGGCCAGTCACAATAGGATGTTTCTGCCACTCCTTCCCAGTCAGACTCACCTCAGCTCCCAACAGGGTCAATTGCTGTGATCCCCCCATCACCCCAGCAATGGAAACAGGTTCTGCCCCCCCGGTCCCGATGGCATTAGGGTACACTGCACACCAGTATCAACTCAGGCGTTGTATTTTTGTGGCTCTGATGTGCCAGGCCATCGGATCCACACCATCCAGAAAATCCGGTTTTGCTGTGCCTCTCCCTGGCTAGAGGCAGGACCCCCCTAGCCCTGGTTATTATTTCTTTCCTGGGCATACATGGTAGAGGTTCCTTCAAGGGGATCTGACAGATCACACCTGGCAGCTCGGTCATGGGAGGTTGGGGCTGCCTTCACTTTAGTGGAACTCCCTCAGTTAGT